TCCGTTAGCATTTCCTGCACCAATAGCTCCGTTAGCATTTCCTGCACCAATAGCTCCGTTAGCATTTCCTGCACCAATAGCTCCGTTAGCATTTCCTGGACCAATAGCTCCGTTAGCATTTCCTGGACCAATAGCTCCGTTAGCGTTGCTTGTCTTTGATGTTTCTCTCAGAGTCTGTAACGCTGTTTCCGGTTCGGCATCAGCTGCTGTATACAGTGTCCGGTGTCGGTCCGGTAACAGCTGTTTAGGGTGGCCTTGGTCCTGTCGGATTGGTGGATTTAGTACAGGAGGCAGCTCTGCCTGTCTCAGCGGCAGCACAGCATTTATTTTTGCCTCGTTAAGGTAACGATCACCTGTTAAAGTGTTTGTCAGTTTTGCTGGTAAATGACTCAAAGTGTTGTGGAGAGAAATGTCAAGGGTAAAGATTAGGTTGCTTTCCGCTCCGGCTCTAGCACTGCGCTCTCCTTGCTTTCATGTGACAAATTATCCAGATTCCCCTCACTTTTTTCACTTTTTATTATTATAGACAATAGTGACACCGTGTGGCATTGTCTAAAATTACACCAGTCAAACAATATGATAAACAAGAACTCAGGTAAAGTTAGCCTTCCTGTGTTTAATTGCGACCTCAATGGAAGAAAAATATAACAAAAGATGTGCTTCTTTTTTAAAAATAATTATGAGTTTTGGAGTACCACAAACAGAAATGTGTTAGTTAATAGGAAAATTACAACATATTTAGGCCAACGTGTTCCACTAATCGTGGATCCCTTTAAAGCTGCTTTATATTCATAATTATTCACCACTTTATTGAGACATTTGAATGAACCAAAATCTTCTGGTGTTTCTCTTTGAAATAGGAACATATAAACTTCTGGGACTTCTGCAGTTCTAGTAGCGCCTTAGCCCCGCCCACATATAATAGCCCCTCCCACACGCATAGCTCCGCCCATAGACGTAGACGCCCACACACAGTGGCGCAAGAAAGTGGGTATGCACTGTATGCAACGTATAGGGGCCAGAAAAATGATGTGGGGAATTTTTTTTCTAGCTGGCATTTCCTGTATGTAACAGCTGTTTGAAATGATCAGTAAAAGAGGAACGGCACTGATTAGGTGCCCCTCCTGTTGCTCTCTCCTCCCACACAGGTCACGTCGGCAGCCGGTGTTCCTCCAGAACACGCTGAGTTAAATTTGAATGGTAGTAGTGGACTCGTCAACAGTGAGGTAAAAAACTCTGCGGGGCACAAAACAGAAGAGGGATAAAGATGTTGGAGGGATGAAGAAAAGCTTTCCAAAGTGGTTGAAAGACAGTAAGTTGAACTGATACGGACGCGATTTGTTCCATATTTCTATAAATGTCTGATAGACACGTCTATCACACATATCAATAAATAATGACCAAATTAAAACACACAATATATTAAGGTCAGCTAAATTGTCGTGGCGGGAGCTAAAGGACCCCAGAACGCTGCGGGGCGATGCTGGTTGTCTGGAGACGGACACTACGCAGCCGCGGTGAGCTGCTATCGACCCGGTCTTTCTAAAATGTCCCATGAGTAGGAAGACCCACAGACCAGGCTGAACAATTTCAGTGAAGTTGAATACGGGCAAGTTAAAAAAATATTTAATATGCTGTATGTTTTGCTCCCTTGTATTTTAAATGATGATTAATGCCCAGTTTTTTGTTTCGTTCTTTTAGGCAGCAATTTATTCACATATGTGTACATTTATTATTATTATTGATATTTTCAAGATTAAAGATGAGTTGTACAAGTTTATTAGTCCTCAGTGTCACTAAAGCCCTTAGTCTCAAAAAGGTTGCTGACCCTTGTTCTGGGCTGGGACACTTGGGTTCTAACCCATCACTGCAGTGGTTTGTGATGCATCTGATAAGTCAGATCAGATGCAGGGTCCAGGCAGTAACTGTTATCCAACAAGGACATCATTTAAATTAAAGATTCATTTTTTATGTGTTTTTAAGTCTTAATGCAAAATTCATGTCATTCAGCTGTGAGGATGGAGAGAAAGAAGACCAGATGACAGAGGAAGAATCGGGACAGACAGGAGAAGGCAACGGGTCGGTCCTGTAACTTCTAGATGCGTCCCAACAGACCGGACCGACTGACGGGCCTGGCAGCGAGCCCCTCACCTGATCCGGTGTTGGAGCAGCGAAGAGTGCAGTGATTTGCTTTTGGCCTTGGAGACCCTGAAGCTTCAAGCTTCCTGGTGCTTTTCTTCCCTTGTGACTGAAATTTTACCTAAATTGAAAAATAAATTATCTTTTGCTACTGACATCAACTGTTCACTGTCTTTGTGTTACACCCAGAATTTACCTGCAGCTGTCTGGTGGAGGGATTGGAAGATGAGTGATAGTTCACTCATTCATTGCTTCACTCATTCATTGAACTTGATCAGCTGTTCCAGAACTCAGATTCTGTTCTGATCCATCCGAGCCAAAACAGGAACCTCAGGCCTTCACAATAAAACACTTCCTGTCTCCTTCACAGTAAGAGCTGAGCGTCTCAGCAGACAGTTTGGACATGAGGACAGCAGGACATTTTTAGCAGAGACGTCCCAGCTGTCCCGGTCTCAGGTTCAGCTTCTCAGAACCACAAAAGGACGACAGGACCGTCAGAGGGTTGGTTCTGGTTCTACAGCAGGTCGGGTCCAGGGCAATCAACCTGCAATTAAACTGTTCTGACCCGGTTCAGCTGGACCTGGACCTCCTGTTTACAGCTGTTTCCATCAGAACCCGCAACCCAACAAAAACAAAGACAGAACCAGAACCACTGAGTTCTAGGTGAACTGGAAGTGGGGCAGAAGCCGCTGAGCTAAACCGAGTTGACCGGGTTCTTCAGAACCGACATGTGCTGCACATTCACCCTCTCCCCTTTCTGCTGACCCGGCACCCAGAACCAGAACCGCCCCAGCCGGCGTCTGATTGGCCGACGGTTTGGGCCTCTGAGTCAGCGGCTCAGGTTTCCTGCAGACCAGAACCAGGGCAAAGGTCGCACACAGCAGCAGAGGGACCGGAACAGGTCCAGGTTCTGGTTCTGTCTGAAAGCAGCAGGATGGTTTCAGTCTTCAGAACCAGAACCAAACGGGCCGAGAAACGTCCAGAACTTCAGGAAACAGTCAGAACCACCTGGAGATCCTGTACTGGTACCAATCCAGTCTAGCCAGAACCAAACTGATGCCAGACCCAAACAAAGTCTTGGTTCCGGACGTTTCTGGAGGAACTCTTGTCTCAGGTTCTGACCTGCCTTGGTTCTGCTGGGTTTCAGCAGTCATGTTGAGCCAGCAGGGGGCGTTATGGTTGGTTCTATTGAGTCAGAACCCGACAGATCCAGTTGGGTCAGAACCATTACAAAAATCACACTGGTTTATTTTCAACAGCAAAAAACAATAAAAACTGTTTCTGTACAAAAACTTTAAGAACACTGATAAAACGGATCAGTCGGGTCGGAACCAGAACCAGTTCTAGTAGACGGCTTCGTCCATGTTGTCATCACTGTCTCCTCCGAAGTCCTCGCCATTATCGAAGTACGACATGATGTAGTCTGTCTCCTGACACACACACACACACACACACACACACACACACACACATTAGTTCATCACAAAACGTCAATAATGCAGTCATAATAAAATAATTATAAACATGTGAAAAGTTTATTTGACTCTAAACATTTTTCAACTAAACATTATTTTTCAAAAATAAATTTAAATTTAATTGGTTGATGTCGCAGGTGAATGAAGGCTTCTGATTGGCTGTTGGTCGTCCAATCAGGAGAGCATTTGCAGCCAGACTGGATCCGCTTCCTGCCACTCTCAACATGGCTGGCATGCAGCTGTAGGTAGCATGCTAGCACTCTGGCAGGAAGTAGCTCTGGTCACATGACCTCCCTCACCTCCTCAAACTCCTCTTCATCATACTCTTCCTCAGCCTCGGCCTCTTCCTCCTTCTGCTCCTCTCCCTCCTCCTCAGAACTCTCCTGCTGCTCCTTCTTCTCCAGCGTCTGGAGGTCAAAGGTAAAAGGTCACATGGTGTGCAGCCCACCCCACCAGTTCCCAGTCCAGACACTCACCTCCAGTTTGAGCAGGACCTCCTCTTTCTCGCCAACCTTCTTCTTCTTCTGTCCCAACGGCGCAGCAGCTAGGTGGCTGAGCGCTGCCCCTGAGGACACACAGCAAACTGCAGCAGCTGTCACTGGCTCAGGTAATCAGATTACTGTCAGATGGAATCAGAGTACTGACCGCCTCTGGGTTTCCTGATTTGGACCCGGAGCTCTTTGGGGAATCTCTTCCAGTCTGAAACAAAAGCAGCAGAACCTCAGCAGGACCACAGCTGGTTCCACCGGGTTTTGGCTCCTTCACCCAACCTGGTTCATAGGAACCAGTCAGTCCTGCAGGGGGAGCTGTTGGACACACCAGGGTCCAGACTGGAATGTCTAGAAAATAGGTTCTGTTTGCTTTGAGGTTCTGAACTAAATCTGAACCGAGTCAGGTTTATCGGACGAGAACCAAACTAAACCAAACCGAACTTAACCGAACTGAATTAAACCGAACTGAATTAAACCAAACTGAATTAAACCAAACTGAATTTAACCAAACTGAATTAAACCAAACTGAATTAAACCGAACTGAATTAAACCGAACTGAATTAAACCAAACTGAATTAAACCGAACTGAATTAAACCGAAATGAACTGAACCGAACTAAACTAAACCAAACTGAACCAAACCGAACTGTTCCGTACTGAAGTGAACTCACCTATGATCCAGTCAGTGAGGCCGTCCATCTTGTCGCTCAGGTGATATTTATCGGAGTATCGCTCCACATCTGACAGGAAATAGAGAGAGACTGTCAGAATAAGAGCACAGCTTAGTGAGTCAGCTGCTGATTTCTGATTGGTGTGTTCTGACCTCTGTGGGCGGCGGCCGGCTGGATAAAACATGGCTGACTCCTCATGGCCGCCCTGAAGTCCTGCTTCAGTGCAGTCAGGTACTCTGACTCCTCCCCACCTGTCAGGGGGAGGGGCTTCTGCTCCATCACCTGGGAAACCGCACAGCATCAACTACAGCTCCCACAGTGCACTGCTGCCCTCATTCTGGTTCGTTTGGAGTTGGACACGTCCAACAGAACCAGAACCACTGGAGGACAGGAGCCAGGTGAGAGGAAAGGGGCGGAGCTTACCGGGAACACAGGTGTGGGCTGCTGCACGGCCGGAGGCAGGGAGTCGCCTCTGCTGGTTACGACCGGGTCCAAACCCAGAGTTCTGCGGCCACGTCCGCGACCCGCCATCACCACCCAGACTGCCGGATCAGAACCAGAACCTGGTTGACCGGGAGAATCTGGATCCTGAAAACACAGAAAGACAGAGCTTCAGTACCTGACCCGACATGGTTCTGGCCCAATAATAAAATGAAATGAAATGATAAAACTCATTTTTGGACCATCTTATTTGTCCAGAACCAGAACCTGACGCTTCTGGTTCTGGACCAGCTTCTTCCAGTTTTTAGTATTGCTGCTCCCAGATGATTAAATATTAAACTTACTATTTATTTATTGTTCACTTTTAAAACTCTTCAGACATTTTTATTGAGATTTTTGCTTTATTGCTTCGATCGTTTTCATTTTGAGTGGAAACATAAATTAATAAAGTCAGAGGCCACGCCCCCAACCCACACCTGGCGGAAGCCACGCCCCCACAGCGTGTCCAAGTTTTAATAAAGTTTCTCATGCCCGGCGGCATGGGCGAGGATTGGGGGGCATTTACCGTAAAGTGACCAACTCTCTGTTATTCCTATATCGGTTTGATACAGTAAGGGCTTCCATATTCCCATATCTGTGGCTTCTGTCACTTTTTTTCAGCTGTTAACTGTTTGATCAGTTAACAATGCAGTCGAACGTATTAATGCGCAAAAAAGAGTTGCGGTGATTTGTATTTGTCTGTGTTTAATTTAATTCCAATAAAAAACAGTTTCCCCTGTCTGATACTGTTTTATTCTTACCCCTCTGTATTTAAAGTATTTTTAACAGGTAGGATATTCTAGTAAAAGGGTTAGTGCATACATCTATAGCTTTTCATTTTAAACGGGTAGGACATTCAGATGAAGGAAGTGATCTTCTTGTGGTTTCGTCATGTATATAAATTGTTCCAATGCTAAGCTAACCATAACTCTTAAGCTTCCACTTCAGTCCCGTCACTCAAATAATGTTATTCAATGTATTTAACATGAACAACCTGCTGTAGTTTCTGTTTGTAAACATGCCGGTAGGAGTTTTGGACGCGCAGCACAGACAGATAGACTTAGTTATCTATCCGGAAGGAAAATCTGACGAGGTAGCACTCATAGTCAGAACACTGGTTCTATACTGGTTCTGAAAGCGGTTCTGCAGGAAGATCCAAACAGACGGATGCCGGTTCTGATATATTTGGACCGGAGGAACTCTAACCGAACCGGACCCTGATCCAAACTGGAGAGCTCCGGAGCCGATCATGAACTGGATCTCCGGATCAGAACCTCCGAACCTTTTAAATAAAACTACAAAAGAAGTTCTGATGTCAGAATTCGAGTAGAACCTCAGTCTAAACTCTGATGGTTCGGTTCGGTTCGGTCTTTTCTGACCTTTAAGCGGGTTCTGGTTCCGTTTCTAACGGTCCCCTTCCTGCAGTCGAAACTCCATCAGCTTGTCCAGAACCTTTCAGAACAGAACCCGTCCTGTTTCAGTCAGAAGTCCACTTCCTGTTTACATCCCGCCACGCTTCTTCTTCTTCTGCTGCAGCCTGAGCGGCTCTTTGCCGCCACCTAGCGGCCTGCGGGGGCTCTACACTTCTTTTGTGTTTTTCCTTCTTCTTCTTCTTCTTCTTGTCGGTTTTACTGGCGGTTGGCAACAAACTGTTAGTAGCATTACCGCCACTTACTGGTATGGAGGGTGGTTCGTGATGGTCTAAATCAGTGGTTTCCAAACTATTTCTGGGTCCCCTATGACTTATAAATAGCTGTCTGGTTGAACGATGGGTGGGGGGAGGGGGGGATCCTGAGAGACTCCCTGTTATACTCAATGTAAACCCAGCGCGAGCGTCTCAGCGCTCATGTTGCGTTTAAAGGGGGCTTGGAAAAACAGGTTACGACATGTTAACAACGGATTAAACA